CTTTTTCAGGCAATTTTTTAAATTTTTTCTTCCATAAGAACCTTCTCCCGATAATAACAAACACAACAAAAAAAAAGTGAAATAGGTCCAGCCGTTCACGCTGATGATGGCGTGACCAAGGGAAATAGGGATTCATTTTTATATATATAGATAACCATTGAAAAAATCTAGTTCTCTTTTAAAATACAATAAGTTTCGCTATCATATTATTAAAGATAAATGCGAAGAACTCAAAAATGATAATAATAATAATTAAAAATCTGAAGAGAACTTAAAGAAAATTGAACTTTGCCTATTAATTTTTTATTACTCAACCCTGTCGAAAGAACCTTTTAAAAAGGCATTAGCCCCCCTTGTATTTTAGTCTGTACATTAAGGTATAGCAAACAAAGTTTAAATAAATATAAAAATAAATTGTAAAGTACAAACGTGACAATCCGAAAATATTGTTTCAGAAACTCTGGAGGATATAAAATTGCAGTTGCACAATGAATTGAACGAGTTATTGAATGCAGGCAAAGGTCCTGGTAAAGAAAAAAGAGCAAAGGAGAAACGAAGCGCTAACTCCGGCGAAGGAGAGACAAGTAAGTTGTCTTAGGTTGATTGACGAGTACCACCCCTACCAATATCATGATTGTGATAGCGTGTTTGTTCCTTTTCCTTTCTTCTACTCTGACCCGATTCTATTCATAGAAATAGTTTACAGAGCGAACACTAGTTTTTATTCGATTAAAACACACGGATTCTCTTGGATATATTTAGTCTACTCCAAAGCATACACTTTAAGCCCACTTCCTCTAACTCATGACGATAAACTCATTATTGACGTGTGTGATTTCTTCTGATAACCTACAGATATTATACTAAGCCCAGCTGCTCAATGTGGTTTCTCGTATAAAGGTCATTTATTTAGTCTTTGGTTATCACCTTTTAAATAATTATATTTTCTTATCAATGTTTTCGAAGTACCCATAAGCCTACTAAGAATCAATACAATTTAAATTCGAAAGAGTCAAACAGTAGGAAGCAACTAGAGGTTTATATATAAATTTCACGCCCAAACAAATCACCCGTTTTCAGACAGCGAACGAGAGCAGAAAGCGTGTGAAAATGCACCGAGCAACCGAATGCTCGTGCCTCTGGTGAGAAAGAACTCGCTCAATCTGATCGCCAACACGACTGTCTGCATATTCCAATGGAACAAGAGTTGGTACCGGTGCTTCATCTGCACCGAGGCTTTCCCCGACATGGGCCAGTTGAGGACACACTCCTCGGAGCACAGCCTCACAGAGTATGAAAGGAGAATAAAATCGCAACAGAACCGCCTGATCAAGGCGGAGGTGTCCCGTTTGGAGTGCAAACGGTGTCAAGCGGAATTTCCGAACTTAAATGAAATGCTGGACCACCTCTCCGCCACCCACTCGGTCCCGTTCCACGGCGCCGAGCACCTACTGGTGCCGTTCAAGATCGGCACTCCGCTAATCTGTCAGCTGTGCGGCGAAGAGCACGACAGTTTCCGGCTGCTGAACGTGCACGTGAACAGGCACTACACGCGGCAGATATGCGACGCGTGCGGCGCCACCTTCTCCAGCCGGGCGTTCCTCAACCTGCACCGTAGCAGGACGCATCGGCAGTGGCGCTGCGAGCGGTGCGCCCTGATATTCGAAACGCGCGCCGCGAAAATAGACCACGACAGGGTAACACACTGCACCGCTGGTCGCAGGTAGGGATGTCGTAAAACTCGATATTTCATATTTTTAATCGCTTTGCTACATATTTGTAACAAATCGATTATTTACTAAATGGGTCTTAGGTATACGTTACTAGCGTGGCTACTAGATACTAGTTCTAATTAAAATAATATTGTACGTTTAATACGAAGATAATGTAGAGGGGTGCAATATTGTAGCATTTTATCATATATTGTTGCTGTATGTTGTCCGTAATAAAATAAAAAGATATATCGTGACCGATATCGATATTTATAAAAATGATTATTAATGTAATTATTATTTCTATAAATATCGATATATTTTTTCACTTTCGATATATCTAGTCGCAGGGCCCGCTTCCCGTGCCCAAGGTGCGAGCGCCGCTTCCCGCAGGAGGGGCAGCGCGCGCGACACCTGGTGGAGGTCCATGGGCGCCCCGCGGCCCGAGCACAGGTGCGCCCTCTGCGAGAAGGCGTTCATCACGCGCGGCCTACGCAACGGCCACGTGAGGAGTGCGCACCGCAGGGAGCGCACACAGGGCTGCGACCTGTGCCCGCGACTCTTCTTCAGCAGGTCTTTGACGTTCTCGGCTTTGACGTTGTTGATGTCGGAATCGTTTTTTTCTAACATAGTTCCTTTATGATATCTTTAGCCGCTTGCAAGGTTACAAACTACTCACATTAAACTTTCACATGTAGAGCAATTATCAGTGGAGCACAAAAATACTTGTCATGTGTGAGAACCGAAACGCCGAAGACAATCATTACTTTACACTGTTCAAACAAATTAGCTTAGCAAATGCGCGGACTGAGTCCATAGATAGAGCATATGATAGCATATGTGGTAAATGTTACAGTTTGCCTCGTGATAATTTCCGCCATCTTTAGATATCAGCAACCGTTGGTTTAGACCTCCGATTCAATCTTCACAAAAACTGTTGCATGGCTCGTCCACAGTCTATTTTATTTGGTCCCTGACACATAATTAGGCAATGTGAAGTATCTTCGTTTAAATAACGCCACAGTTTGATTTACGCAGCAATTGTATCGTCATCAACACCAATCTGCAGTGGCAGTCTACTGTTGAACATATTCTTCCTTCCGGCCACTTGCCTTACATCAAGGGTTGCCGTAAGACATGTAAACTAACATCCAGATGCGGAATTATCTGTGGATGACATGCGTTTGGAAGTCAAACCCACGACCCCCGACGCCGGAGCTAATAGCGTAACAACTGCGCCAATATATGATTCATAATAAAAAATCACGACATTCGTTAAAAGAAATAGTTTGGACAATATAAAGTAATAATTTCGCTCAGTCATTCAGTCACCTAAAGAATTCTGTCGAAAAACGTTATCACACGCATAGATAACAAATAGACTGTAATCCCTAAAATGACTAAAATCATTGGACACAAACAAATTCCAAGCCAAGAAAGGTCTAAAGCTTCCAAGGAACTCTTCAGGTCGGATGCGGCTCGACACCGAGTCACGCATACAGGAGAGAGGCAGTTCGAGTGCGCGTCCTGCGGCGGCACCTTCGCCACCAAGGGCTCGCTGAACAGACACACAGCCCGCAGCCACGTTACGCCCACGTCCACGTGTCCGGGTTAATCGTCACGATTGTCACCTAATTCACAAAATCACTGTTGATGATATAACAACTGTCATAAAACCACAATAATTATCGTGATCATACAATCAATATTATGATCAAAACATAATAATCACTATTGTGATCATATAATCAGTATTAAGATCACAACATCATAATCACTATGTTGATCATACAAGCAATATTATGATCACAGCATCATCATTTTCATTGTCACGAGTCCATAATGTAAAAAAATTAACTTCTTTGCTGACCCTAATTTGGTTGGAACCAATCTAAATAGCCAATAATAATATGTATGCGAACATGGGGTGCAGTTAATGTGTAATTGTAAATAAAATTGTAAATGTAATTGTCATTTTCTTACCAAAAAGGGAATGTTTTCCTTTTTGGGTGTAAGAAAATGACAAGCGTGCTGGCGGTTCACCAGACGTTAAGTGATAACTGACTCGCTAGGACATTTAGAAAACCCGTAAGGTAACAAGTCAATAAATAATTACAACCAGTTTTTAATATAATGGGCCCCGGCTACCTCACTTATCAGAAAAAACGCAGAAGTATAACACTTCCACTTCACGCCGGTCTTCTGTAAGGTGGTACTTACTCGGATTCGTGCAACAGCGAGGACACACGGCTATATCGAAGTAAATACTGGTATTTTCTTTCCTTCATCCTCCATCGTTCAGCCAATTTCATCTAGGAAGAGAACCGTCGCGTACGATTTGACGATCAGCGTGAAGTGGTTTTATTTTGTTTAAAAGTTGCCAAGACAACTGCAAGCCCTGGGTGTTGCAGACGTCCGTAGGAGGTGGCAATCAATTAAGGCCCATTTACACGGTGCCAGTTTCTTGCCTGTTGTATACAATTAAATTGAAGCAATAAATGAGTTGCATGGTCTAAACAACAAATGGCCTTAACAATTATTGCGCGCAATTTATTGCATTCAATAATTGCTCTTGTATGTACAAGAAAATGGCATCGTGTAAATGGGCCTTTAACATCATGTGAAACATTAGTACGCTTATCACCTTTAAAAAAATAAACCATGATATAACTAAATATATTGTTTTATTTCTTCCATCGTTTTGATCCCGGCGGTTCTTCGCGCATCTAAATAATAATATTTAATAAGCTTACTTACCACGACGCTTTTGGATCTATCTATCAAGCCCAAGGAATCCTATGGTCGATATCGACACGAAGTTCAAACAATAAATAAGACAAAGTTATATTGATGACTGCGGCTAATCGAGTACCTTTCTTCCCCATCAGTTATCGATTCATAAGCCATCTGGCCGGCCCATTGCCACTTCAGCTTATTGTATGTAGTTACCCACTTGAGCTATGTAGTTACCTACCTGGATTAAGATACTGTTAGCTCATCTTCGTATATCGGACTAGCAAGGACATTGGGATGTGGCATGATGACATTTAAACCAGTGCCTCAATTCTAATTTTCTTTATTAGCGTTCGCATTTCGAAACATGCCGTGTCTGGCATTTTTTTTTATTACGACAAGAGCAAATCATAATAATGATTGATGTGCATTTGTGTATTATGTGTAATAAGTATGAAAAAGCCCTATTTTTTATTCTGTAATGAATCTATTCAGTTGCATTGTTACGCGAAAGGAGGCACATTGCACTTTTTACCCCGCTTCTCCATTTTTTTACCTACCCTCCGTCAGAATCGCTTTAAGTTTTTTCCTGTCCAGTTTTCCGGTTGAAACAGTCGGGAGGTCGTCCACAAACCTGACTCCTCCTGCAAGCCTCATGCGGTAGGAAACCTAGAAGAACATATTCCCATTATTGGCTCCTGTGCACTGAAAAGGCTTCTGATCGTGTAGAATCGAGTAAGGGACACGCCTCTGCTGGCTCGTCTGGGAAAGTACCACGACTTTTAAAAAGCCGTTAAATTTTATTGTACGTATTTTTGCATTTCGCCTGCATCTGCAAAACACAAGCTGCCACTTGGTGATTCAGTATTTGATATTCACAGGTTTCGTTTTTTTTTTTCGTTGGTGCTGGCATTGACATTTGATGTTGTGTTGATTAATTAGAACAAAATTAAAATCATAGTAGTGTAACAGGGTGCACGTATGTACAACTATCCTAATCGTCAAATGAAGTGCCTTCTATTATCCCACCTAGATGGGTTAATCTGTGAATCATTTTACAACAGAACAGTCGTTGGTACTTACTACCCAACCCCATCAAGTCATCATCATATCTTCAAAATCAAATCAAGTCAAAACAAGTCATCATCATATCTTTTTGGCTTCAAGTTAAAAAGCAATTCAAGACGAGCTTCGCATTTTGATCTCTTATACCGCAAAGATGCTAATTCAAATAAAATTACAGTAGACCAGCTAGATGACTCCAACGCCTCGAGTCGTCTTCAGGATTTGTACAGTTTAGATTAAGAACTCTCTGATTTACCGTTCTACGTTGGTTAAATCACGTGCCCAGCACACAGTTATAAATGAGTTTCTGCACCCGATACATTTTGAATTTAATATCTCCAAATGTCTGAACGGTTATCTTCAACCCTCACCTGTCCGTCGACGTAATCGACCAGTTCCTGGGCCGTTGCTTCGTAGCCTGGCCGAAGGACCACGAAAGCAGTTGGTACTTCGCCATATTCGTCGTGAGGAGCCCCCACAACTCCCGCCTTAAGAACAGCCGGGTGCTGAGCGAGGACTGCATCTAACTCCGCTGGGGCTACCTATTGTACCCAACAATTTTATAAGGAACAAAAATAAAATACCTCTTTTCTTGCTGCTGCAATTACCACATTACACTGTGCAATTATTTTTAGTACATTAGCGCTACCGGCGTTCTTGTCATCAGCCCATAATACGTTAAACCTCGTTAGTAATATAAATGGGCCAATAGCCCATCAATTGGTGACGAGATTTCGTGGTGCTAAAGTTGCGTTGGACCAAGATTACCCGATAAATCCAGCTTCGCAGAGGCTTTGGGACGAGCCGCTCTGCATAAAAGTACAGGAAAAATTACTTGAAAATTGCTTTAGAGAGCGGGCGAGTGTGGAGGAAGAGTCGGGCTACTGGTTGAATGCATTGCACTCTGTTAGGCAAGACCTCATTTTCTTTTGTAGTTAGCCGGTGACTTGGAGGAAAAATCAATGAGACATATCGCTGCCGTTGTGGTAAAGAGGTTGACCATCAGCGTCATCATGGCCTAGCGTGCCAGCGCAGCGCTGGTCGTATTCCTCGCCATGCTGCAATTAATGACGTCATTCGTCGGGCCTTAATAAGCGCTAGTGTATCTGTTTTAGAGCCAAACGGTATATTCCGTGACGATGACAAAAGGCCTCACGGAATGGCGCTCATTCCCTGGAAAAAACGGGCGCACTTTGGTCTGGGATGTGACGTGTGACACGTTAGCGCCATCGCACGTTTCGGGATCTGCTTGCAAGGCAGGCGCTGCTGCAGCGACGGCGGAGTGCATGAAGCGCCGCAAATATTTAGCCCTTCGCGAATGCTAAATATTTGCGCCGTTTGGCGTGGAGACACTCAAGCCGTGGGGACCAGTCACGAAACGTTTGTACAAAGATAACTGCTCGCGTCTGGTTACCATTTCTGGTGACCCAAGAGCTGGCTCGTACTTTGGCCAGCGAATCAGCCTCGCTATACAGCGTGGCAACTCGCCGCCGTCTGTGGGCAGCGTGCCCAGACGCGGGACAGACGGCGGCGATTTGGCCAGCATTTTTTATCTAGTTTAGTTTTTAAGTAAGCATGTTTGTATTATAGTTGTTAGTTTTTAGTTAGCTATTTAGTTTTAATTACTATATGTATAGGACTAATAAACTTATCAATCACAAGATAAGATATTGAAATTACGCTTTAGTTGTACAAATAATAAATAATACGAAATATGTGAATATATATTTTTTAGTTTCGTGTTTTCGAAAGTTCTAATAAAATTATAACTCTCAATAATAAATAAATACGGAACATATTTCGTAACGGTGAGCGAAAGACGAGCGGCATAAGTCCATTTACCAACGCGCCTCAGCGCTCTCTATACATCATGTGGAAATGAAAGAGGACCGAAACAATGCCGCGGTGGCGCTGTGTTTTGGTCGTCGTGTTCGAATTAATTTTAGTGAATTGAATTAATATTTACAAATATCTTACTTCAATCAAAAAATTAAGACAACAATCCTTGTTATTGAAATATTCTACACCACTGATATTAATTTCATTAAGATTTGTTGATGTATTACGTTCATATTTGGATATGAATTTCCCTTTTAGAGGTAAGTAGTTTCATAATTTTTTCCTATCGAGAAAATATATAGAGAATATGTTTTGAAAACAATGTTTCATTAGAATTTAAGATCAAGATATATTTTTTGCTGCTATAAAATGTGTAGAATTTGTAAAAAATCTTTTGAAAAACCTATTTTTAAACCTAACCTAACCTTTTTTACTGCATATAGCCAGCCCTACCAATAGCGGAGGGCCCAAACCCGTGGTTTCTGGCTAGCCCACCGGTTCTGCGTAAGATGAAGCTTTAATAGTCTCGGGACTGAAAGCAAAAACATCAGTTAATACAAGATACAAGACACTGCATATAGCGCCTTAAGACACACCGGGAAACCCTTATAACAAGTTAACCCTTTTCATGTTCATCGTATTCTCACCTGGTAAGAGTTGAACTTTATGAGCTCCTTAATCCTTCCGACTATGTAGAAATAACGGTCTTCGTCGTAGTAGCCAATGTCGCCCGTCTTGAAGCATCCCTCCTCGTCCAAATAGTCTAAGCTCTTGTCACCGATATAACCTACATTTGGACGTTGAATAAGAAGACTGGGTACCTGAACTGCATCAGTTATACAGCCGTGGCAAAGAAGTCCTCATCAATCTGAAGTTACAAAACTTTTAAGGTGACTTAAACACTTGTTAATGTTAAAATTGCGATGGTGCAGTATCCTTGCAGATCACATAAATGCATCGACTACAGTGTTTGTGAAATTGGAATCCGGCTTAGTATTTGGGATACCATCTTGTTCTACGGACCATTTTAGATATTTATTACTCAAATTGATAAAACTGAATTATAGTGCCGTTTCTAATTCCCCCGTTAAAAGAACTGTCGACAGCTTAAATAAAGGCTATATTTGAATTCGAATTTTACCAGAAATCAAATCTTCTTTGTACATGGCATCGATTTGAAAAGAGCTTGTTGTGTGACGATCATGTAATATTTATATATAATACTCAATGTATTGACAGAAATTGAAGGAATTTTTTTTGAAAAAAAAAAAAAATGTCTTGAGAACTCTTGTCCATTTTCTATTATTTGCCTATACAAGTCATTGTTAAACTTCATCATAACCTTAATTTTGCTTGCGTAAATATGGACATTGGATCCTGAAACTTTTCTTACCGGGCATAAGTGATAGTGATTTGAAACAGATTTCTCCGCGCTGTTTCGGCCCAAGAGGGAGACGAGTGTTTAGGTCCACCACCTGAAAAGAAAGCTTACATTAACGTTTCTGTACAGAGTGTTATATTATTTTACTAGCTGTGCCCGCGACTTCGTCCACGTAGAATTAAAAAAAAGTGAGTGAGGTAGACGGGGCCTACATTATTAAAATTTGCCAACGCATCTACTGCAACGTGTCAAAGGTTGCCAGTAATTACTTAACATCGGGTGAACCGTCTGCTTGCGTCCCTTTTCACAAAAAAAAGTGAAATGAAGTGAGGGGGTGGTGGATACAATACAGTTTGACTCAAGATACAGTGTATCTGCCAAATAAATATAAGCCCAAGATTGCTATGTTATTAGCATATAATATAAATAACGACAATCCAGTATTAAATAGACTGTCTATTAATACTGAAGCTCATATTTTTTTTAGTAATTTAAGGCAGACAAAAGAGAAACCAGATGTTAAAACTGTTAGCTTGTTATATCAAAATATAAACCGTTTCTCTCTTGACGTAGAACTTCTAATTGATAAGTATAATATAGATATCTTGTGCTTTACTGAGACATGGCTCAATGATATGTCATTTAGTATAAAAAATTATTCAGCAGCCAATAAATTTAACAGAGTATCTGCTATGGGAGGGGGGTGTCTCATCCTACATAGAAATACTTTGAAATTAAAAGAAAGAACTGATATTGTTGCATACTCCGTTGAACGACTATGTGAGATTGCATGTGCAGAGACAGAAGATTATTTATTAATGTGTGTTTATAGACCACCCTCATCTGATCTTATAAATTTTTTATTAATTATTGAAGACATCTTGATTAAAATATTTAAAATAAAAAAGCATATAGTCATATGCGGTGATTTTAACATTGATTTACTGACAGATTCTCCAGATAAAGTGAGATTTCTGTCACTTCTTAAAAAATTTAATCTTTACTGTGTCTTCGATGAACCAACAAGAGTAACCCCATCCTGTGCCTCTTGTATAGATAATATTATAGTAAATTGTAAAATCGTAAACCAAGAAATATTGAGTGGTGTTAGATCTGACCATAAAGCCCTTAAAATAGACATCTATGTTAATAACAAAAATAATGTTATTATAAATGAGTGTAGGCTTGTAAATAAATTCAGAATTAAACAGTTTAGAGATAGCGTCAAACGCAAGCTACCCTTATTAAAATTAACTAATAATGATCCCGATGACAATTTCAATGCCTTGTTTACTATGATTACTACAGAATTAAATAAAATTATGCCGAAAAGAAAAACTATAACTTTAGGCAATAAACTTTGCTTTAGTGAGTGGGCAACTAAGGGAATTAGAAAGAGCAGGGATAAACTACTGAACGATATTATTAAAACATTTAAAAATCTAAATAAAAAGAAAACAAAAGACTTATGGTGCTTATCAATATGGGCAATTGATCTTATAATCTATGACATTGCTTGCATATTAGCCCAAATATTTAATACATGTTTAGACAGTAGCAAATTCCCTAAGTTAATGAAATATAGTAAAGTTGTGCCAGTATATAAATCGGGTTCGAGAGATGATGCCTCTAATTACCGTCCTATCTCTATGTTGCCTGCCTTAAGCAAAGTGTTTGAGAAAATAATGCTGGATCAAATGATAGTACATTTTAACAAATATAAAATTTTAAATCAGCACCAATTTGGATTTACTAAAGGTAGATCTACAACTGATGCAGGGATAGAATTAGTTTCACATATCCTGCAGTCCTGGGAAAGCTTTCATGATACCACTGGTGTGTTCTGTGACTTTTCCAAGGCATTTGACTGTGTAGATCATACAATTCTAATCAGGAAATTGGAATATTATGGTATTCGCAATTGTGCCATTGACTTTGTTTCCTCATATCTTACTGACAGGGAACAAAAAGTAATCATAAATGGTATATTGTCAACGGGGTCAAAAGTAAAAATGGGCGTTCCTCAAGGATCGATCCTGGGCTCTTTTCTGTTTTTAGTTTATATTAATGATTTGCCATATATAGTGGAAAAAAGGTCTCAAATTGTTTTGTTTGCGGATGACACTTCATTATTGTTTAAAGTTAAAAGGAAAGATGATGCACTGGAACAACCAAACGAAATACTAGATGTTGTGTCTGGCTGGTTTGCTACCAATAACTTACTTTTAAACTCCAATAAAACAAAATGTATTAGATTTACTCTTTCAAAGTTGTGTCACCAATCAGGAATCTCTATTGATGAGAAAATCCTACCCCTTGAGGATTCAACAGCATTTCTTGGAATAAGCGTTGACTCCAAGTTGCAATGGGGATTACATATATATAAGTTAGTTAAGAAAATTGAGCGCTGCCGTCTTTGCCATACGCAAAATCAGGCAGCTAACTAACGAGGAAACTGCAAAATTAGTTTATTATGCTTATTTTCACAGCATAATGTCCTATGGTGTCTTACTTTGGGGTTCCGTATCCGGTCTAGACACACACTAGACACAAAGCAGGCTATACGGGCCGTCTATAGCTTGGGTCCACGTGAGTCGCTACGACATACATTTAAGCAAATAAACGTTTTGACGCTCCCCTCGCTCTACATACTTGAGAACATCATGTATGTACGTAATAATATCCACCTATTTACGAAAAAATAATCCACATCGCGTCGGGGCCGTGGTGACACTCTGGAAGTACCGAGGTTTAGATTGGCTAAAACCAGAAAGTCGTTTCTTGGAAGATGCATCAACTTTTATAATAAAATAGGTGACATCCACAAACAACTAAGTATAAACAATTTCAAACAATTTGTAAAAGCTACCTTAATGGCAAGGGCCTACTATAATATCCAAGAATACATAGAGGACAAGGATGTTTGGAAATTACTCTTGCTCTGCACTTGCAAGACCCCTGGCTGCTGCTGATTTTATACCCAAATAAGTGTGTATAATTGCATTAAAAAATATATATATAACAAAAAGAACAAGACCGCAAAGTTTCTTGCCGGTTCTTCTCTGTGCAGGTCTAGTTTAGTGAACCGGTGGTAGATTTTTGTTGACGTTCAATAAGAGCTTAAGTTAGGCCTATATTGAATAAATATACTTTGACTTTGACTTTGACTTTGACAGTTCTCTTCAAATCGAACTATATTCTCCAAAGTACATGATGGTATTGGTATTTACCTAAACATCGCTTCAATCGAAGAAAGTTTCAGACACGTACATCTATAAAAACGAAAAGCTCCGTATCGTTGTCTCTCTCTCTCTCTCTAACCAACAAAATAATTCTCATGGAATTAATTGAACTCACTTTGATGGTGAAGGCCTCAGTGACGCAGCCAACGCTACCTGGTTTCTGGCCCTTGGGAGCTCGCCGATCGCTGCAGATGCAACCCGCCTCCGACATACCGTAGTACTGGCTGGTGAACCCCAAATTAGGGAATCTGAAAATGTGGCAAATCTAATTAATGGCTTTCTGGTCGCCAATCAAAATAGAGTAGAACAAAGTTAAACCGGCAGATGAGTCAACTGTCAGCAGAAGGTAATCCTTCTCTTTTATACGGATGACGGATTCGAGACAAAGGCGGCAATCATGAAAGTTAAAAATTTACTAAATATTGTAAAAAAACCGTAAAGTACTAATTTTACCCAATTAGAATCTAAAACACGTGCTCCTTTTAAAGAAAGCAGAGAAGCATAAGAATTTTCAGTTGAACTCAGTAGACCACGAAACACTAGAAGTATGGTCCTCAAGTTAGGGAATCTGTAAGTGCGGCAACCTACGTAGTAACTCTCTGGTCGCCAAAATACAGTACAACCAAGTCAAAGTAGCGATAGAATCAACTGTCAGAAGAAGATAACAGCCCTGCTACTTTTCTTGTATACATATGACGGATTCTAGTCAAATGTGTGTAGTCAAAAATCTAAAGAAATTTAACAATCCCAAATATTTTAACAAAACTTGAATGTACTGATATATGAAAGTTTTACAGCAGAAGGAGGAGCCTTCACAGTAGACTAAGTACTGACCTTGCCTTTACCGCCTCCCCCAGCTCCGCGCTGAGGGTCGTGCTGCAGGATATTAGGCAGACGAGGGAGGACAGGTCATAATGCGGCACCAGTGAAGAATAAAGCAGCTCCGAGACCGTTGAAGGAGCCACTTGAATCACGTCAATCTTGTAATCGATTAAGTACTTACTTTAGTACAGTGGTTGAACAGAACGCTAGCCAACAGTTGATAATCGTTTGTCAGCTCGGTGATTAAGTACTTAAAAACAGAATACCTACAGTAGTAAAAATATTAAAATTCCTATTATATATATTAGATTTGTCTCATTTGTGGGTGTCACGTAGGATATATTGAAATAATATATCCTACGTGAAATTGTCTCAATGTATCCTACGTGACACCCTACAAATGAGACAAATTTAATAATACCTTAAATGTTGAATTTCATCAAAAGGCTTCGGCTGTAGTTTTTTACCAGCTGACCAGATTTTAGAAAGCTGTAGTGAACGACACTGGCGCTAGTCCACCACTCACAAGTAACTTTTTCTGAGTCAATTTTCGTTTAGGGCAGGATTTGGCTGGATCTCCAGAGTTTAGCCATTGCGACAATCGCTTCCAATTATCGTACAGTATCCACTTTTCATCACAAGTAAAAATTTAAAAATAAATGCAATACGGTTGAAAAACATACACATAGTCGGGTGAAAAGATACACACGACAGAACTCATTATTTGATCTCACCCATACGGAAAGCTCCGCATGGACTATTTTGATTGTAAAATAAAATAAAAAGTAAATTTACAGCCTTTACAAGTCCCGCAACTGCGGAAAGGCTCTAGACACTTTCCAAAAAGGTCTATCTTCACATCGACGAAAACCTCAACGTATTCATGTACTTTGTTCTTTATAGAATACCTTATAGCTCTGGATAGCCTCGAGGTAATGTCTCAAGTCACCGCTGGGGCAGTACATCACGGTGGAACCCATATATAGGGTGAAGAGGGTGTGCATTAAACCGTATGAGTAGTACCATTCCCGAGTAATGAGTGTCTTGGTGTTCGCGTATGGGCTGAAAAGCGAGGCCATCATTTCTATTAAGAACTAAATTGCGTGATTTAATGACTATTTAAATAATAACACTTTCTGGAAATTAATGGTTCTCATCAGGTTCTTTCAAGGGGACTATAATATTAGTTCCTTACATATGAAATTGGCGTTTTGTACGGGAGGAATATAAAGTAATTTTTTTTTTGTAAAACATATTTAATTAATTAAAGTATGCACCGTTGTTTATCTATGCACTTTTGCCATCTCATGGGGGGAGAATCATTATAAACTCTTTGAAGGCGGTTTGGAATTCAATTTACAACAAACTAGCGAACCGCCCCGGCTTCGCACGGGTGCAATGTATTACAGATATAAACCTTCCTCTTGAATCACTATCTAGTAAAAAAAACCGCATCAAGTACGATAAAATGCTAATTTCATATGTAAGGACCTAATATATTAGACTTAAATCCGACAACTTATAAGTAAAAAAAAATTGTAGTGGACCGAATTGTGAATCTAAACCATTCTCGAATCGATCTGAAGACACAAAAATTCCATTGAAATCGGTCCAGCCGTTTAGGAGGATTTCATTAACATACACACGTACAGAAGAATTATATATATAAAGATAATTTACAGTTAAATGATTGGTAAATAAAAAAAATCCTTGGCCTAATAGTGACTTTTTTTTACGTGAGAAAGTGGCAAACGAGCTGGCACTTTACCTGATGTTAAGTGATAACCGCCTGCCCATGGACATTTGCAACACATGTAGGGTTGCAGATGCGTTGCCACCTCTTAATAACGTGGGCCCCGGCTACCTCACTCACCAGACGAAACGCAGAAGTGCAAAACTTCTACTTTACGCCGGTCTTCTGTGAGGTCGTTGTACTAACCCGGACGGACCTGTCCATTCGTGCAGTGAACTCTGTTGCGTGGCCCTACCACCGTTTCATACTTTCGGCGATTATTCTCATTTCAGTCATATTACCTTTTATCGCCCGTGTCCCCTAAAAAGAGGAGCAGATTGAGATGCGTCAGGGGGATGCCCTTCGGAAGACCGGTTGTGCCTGAAGAGTAAAGAATGATGGCTACGTCCGACCAACCCTCCACGTCTATTGGCTGGAAGTCCTCAACGGGTGCAGTCTCCGTCAGGAATTGGCTGAATTCTACTGCATCATCCCACTCTCTCTCCCCGCCCTCAAATATGATGACCTTTCGCAGACTATCGATTGATTTTATGGTCTCCCTGTGGACTTCGTAAGCTGAGGGGGAGCAGAAAAGAACTGAGGGCTTCGCCAATTCAGTCCGATGGAGGATCGTTGCTGGAAAGGAAGTGATAAGATGTAAACGATGGCGCTGTCTAATTTTCTTAACGTAAAATATTATGGGGTCACGTTCAGAGTCATCTCACAATATTTGGACGCTCTTATCTTGAAGTTTCTTAAGTCTTACCTGTCCGGAAAATCCGCTGGTGATAACTGATTCGACGAAGTAGCTGTGTCGGACAGAAAATTGCGTAAAAAACGCTCAGTGATGGATCGCCAACTATCATAACTGTAGTAGGGCCACGCAATAGTTGGCTTTTGCACGGATTGTCCTGAGTAGTAGTCCCCACGACCTCATAGAAGAACGGCGTGAAGTAGAAGTGTTATATACTTCTGCGTTTCGTTTGGTGGGTGAAGTAGCCAGGGTCCATTGTATCAAAAAGTGGCAACTCTACGGGTGTTGCAATTGTCCATGGGGGGCGGTTATCACTTAACATCAGGTGAACCTCCAGTACCCTTGCCATCTTCTTTTAAAACTGCTTGCGTTATTACTAGTCACGATGATGTATACAACTCGGCGGGAAAATATTGCACATCGACGTTTGGTAAGGGACAATCGACTAATTTCGGTTTCGTAGAGCGTTATCTATCTCTGTCACACACTACCTAGCGGACTGGTAGCTACAGGTTACGTTCACAGTTATACGTTATTTTTATTCCATTAATTTTGGCGCGTCTAAATATTGCGTGTATAAATGACATTGATCAATTATAATCAAATCCTTTGACACGTCCCTAATTTAACCTGTTAGCATACGCACCTCTCCCGCCGGTGACGTCGACGCCCGTGTAAGTCGCCCCCGCGCAAATAACGCCGAGAACGGTCGGTATGAATTCAATTCGCTTCTCGCTGCACACCCCCACCACCTCACCCTTTCGCACGCCGATACGAACGAGCGAGAGCGCGATATCGACAGACTGCTGTACCAGTTGGCGGAACGTCAACGATTGGCCTGTCTCGGCGTTTATCTAAAACGTGAAAATGTTACAGTTCGGATTATATATAATACGTTCCAACAAGTTGGTGTCCACCACTTTAGAAGATTAGAATAGATTTTTTTAATAATGGGAATTATAAATTCAATATATTCTCGTATTGAAAATATAATTCTGATAGGTTGTAGTTTTAACGTCATTTATTATCTACTAGTGACCCGCCCTGGCTTTGCACGGATGTATATATTATACATATAAACCTTACTCTTGAATCACTCTAGTTAAAAAAACCGAATCAAGATCCGTTCCGTAGTTTTAAAGATCTTAGCATACACAGAGACAGACAGATAGCGGGACGACTTTGTTTTATACTATGTATATGTTAAAACGTGAAGAAAAAGCTTTGTACCTCTTTTTACGAAAATTACGCGGACGGTGGAGTATGTAATTTACTACACTTATATATAGAGAGGGAGTGCAGAATGCTAATATTTTTTTAAATTTCGCTTAAAAATACATTAAATCATTACACACACTTCCATGTGTAATTAATTATGGTGGAATTTCGACCACTGGGCGACCACTAGGTTCTATAGGTCCATAGAGGTACCATACAGATACCATCTAGGTAATACCACTGGTCACATGGTGAAAAACCACAGCATAGGATAATGGAAAATGACAAACTAAAATAAACTAAGGATATATTGGATTATAATATTAAATATATTATGTTCAGCCCCGAAAGCATTGTGGAATCTTAGCAAAGAAACCGTTACTAAACTTTGGGTAAACCGAAAATAATAAAAATACCCACAAAATAAGTTCAAAACTAAAATTAAACATTGTCAGAAAGTTGACGAACGGAATTAACAGTAAAATAAAAATTAAATGAAACACCGTACAATAATATAAGACAGAAACTTACGAGATCCAACCAATTAGATCAGAGAAGTGGTAACATTCATAACAAAACGAAACCTCTAAAATAGTTCTAAGCTAATAATCGCTATTTAACATTTTCTCAAATATGATAAGTAATTAATTAACTGGAAGGTACTCACAAAAACTTTCGTTACATTTAACCAAAAGATTTTATCGCCATTACGTATAGTAAGTATAAAACACACTGTTTTATTTTACGAGGGTAGGTACCCAAGGAGAAAATATGTCGCAGATTGTTTCAACAGCCAAACGCGAGTTTTCGTATTGAATCCCACTTCTGATATAAGAGTTCTATCGTTTTTACCTTGATTCTAATATTTTAACTATTACTGAACTTGAATATTAACAACTTATATAACGACGAGCACTAGTGGTTGTATCACTGTCCGGGAATGCAGCCGAAATCCAAGTGACCGTTGGCGACCACATGCGACCACTTGGCTCAAGTAGATTACGTTATATCCGGCATACAGTGTTGCCAGTGCCAACAGTTCACTTAACGTATAATTACTAAACCGCTTATCATTACGATTCTACGAGCCCGAGACTACGGGGTTCACGTATCGTCTTTATGTAGAACGGAATCATAAAATAGCTTACTACAGCCGCCTGGTCACCGTAGCCGCCGAATCTCTGCAGCAGAAGTTCGCCGTAATGGAAATGCGCGGGAATCTTCAACGCTCCCCGTTTACCGTACACATAAAGCGGATTTTTAAGCATTTTTCAATGCTTATTTTATGACGCAACAAGAAATATTGGACCAACTGGATTCCGCGTTATCAATTATGTATTTATCGAATTTCAAAACAGCGCGTGTTTATAAATGCAGGTGTTGTGTGAATAAAAAGTTTCGCGTCAACTGCAGTTGTATTCTATGTTAGGGTCAATAAACTGAGTAAATATTGAAATTCAATGGATAAAATGTGTTTTAATCGGTCTCATTAGCTGATAATAATGCACCATTTAACAGCGAGCTGTCGGCACGGGTTATTAATGCTTCATTTAACATTCAGCTCTCGACCTGGTTGCATAATGCAAGAATTAAAAAACAGAAGTAAAAGGACGCTTCTGATAAAGATTTTACAAAGGACCTCTTTGATAAAGAATTTATATTTTTGGGCGGTGTTCCGTACTGGAACAAGAGTAGTTTAATTCATATAATTTTATATTCATTCTAAACATACTTAATAAGATGACACAATTTGGAGTATCTTAATGCTATTTACTTATTATTATTTTTTCTTCACTGGGTTGGCGATCAGCCGTTATGTCTGAATTCAATCCTTAACGTGTGAGTTACGGCTACTACTAGCGCCACACAAACTAGCGGCAGTCGAGTCAGTGAGAGATTCGAATTGCTGTCATCACCGCGTACGCACCGAAGTTTTTTGCGTGCTATTACAATATATTCTTCTCGAGATCTCTTTCACCCTGGAAGTACTGTGCTCAGTGACCTATGGACCCTTGTGCGATATATTCTGCGGGACTTTAATAGCTGCGCTTTGCCGACTTGCCCAGTCTCTCTTTAGCCAACTCCAAGACACGAGGTTGCAGGAGGACTGTTGCGGTAAGTCGCCTAAACCCAGTAGAATATCGTACAGGCGGAATTATTTATTTTATGTGCGATGCCGCCCCGGCCCTGACCGAGGTACCCCTTAGATGGGAAGCAGCCAAAGTGTCTACACAAGTGGCGTCCCAAGCAAGGGTTTTGCCTCTCTCCCAAGGGATCAATGTTAAACCGTCAGGTCTCTTACCATCGTCGCGAAAAATGCCCCAGGGCTCTAAAATAGATGGAACATTGATGGAAACAAGAGCCCTACGAATGATGTCGTTCAGGGAAACCGTGGCGGGAAAAACTGCCAGCACTTTTTTGACAAGAAAGCCCGTGGAGACCAAATTTTTCTACTCTGATACCACAAGGGCATTGGTGTAGTTGACAAATCGGTGCCCGCAGAGGAATTCCTACAGCAATGCGTAAACTTTCATCGTCATGTAATGTGCCCAAGTTACTTGATGGTAAAACGTGAAGCCAATAACTCGATTCTTTTGATGAGACGCCTAGGAAACGGGCACGCTCTAAATTACTTTCTAAAGATTGAAACGTATCTCTCTGTACTCTCCGCACCAAAGGGACATCCCAGTGTTTTTGTAGGTTTACTTCCAGTGGGATATTTTCATTGGAGCAGATAGACTGCCAAGACATCCTTGCCTCCTCTGCATAGGAAAGTTCTGAATCGTTATTAAGGATGTTATTACATAAATTATTTATGCTATACACGGAAGCATTTTCTTTTGTTTATTTATTTATTTATTTTAGCTTACACCGATACCACCAAAACGAATTGACAGCGTAGCTTGAGTCCAGCTTAATTCATTAAGAGATAAATTTCTAGAGCTGATTTAAGATGGAAATAAATAAATAATAAATAAATACGGAACGTATTTCGTAACGGTGAACGGAAGATGAGCGCCATAGATCCATCTAGAAACAACGCACGGGAAACTCCAATACAAAGCCGATGGCGTATTTTTTGTAGCAACATCTTTCTTTTATGATACCGAAACAAGTATTACGTTTTCTTTTTTTAACTAGAGGTCTATTTTATTTTTTTCTTTGTTGTTCTACATCTGCGTTGGCAGTATGAGTTGCAAATTTATTTGAATTGAGTGTGTTTAGGGTCGAGTTGAAAATTTGCCAGCTAAACGTACGACGGCTTGTGTTTTTTTGTAATATCTTGGAGGCTATTAATTAATTTTTGGCATATTTTGGACGCTATTAGTAAGGTAAGTTTTGTGTTGAAACTATGCCTACTTGTAAACATTTTGTTCGGGTAATTTCCATATTCCATTTTGTATAGATTACTTATAATATTAATGTTTATTTTTTTACCATATCAGATGTATGTAAAATTCATTTCATTTTATTTATTTATTTTTTATTTATTTTATGCGAAAAGTTGTCAAAGGAGCAGAGGGTTCACCTGATGTTAAGTGAATACCGCCGCCCATGGACATCTGCCACACCCGAGGGTTACAGATGCGTTGACAACCTTTTGAAAATTGGGCATTCATACGGGGATTGCATTCTTTATGTATTCCTTTCAATCTTAAAAAATTAAATAAAGAAAAAGTAAAGTTATTTATTTAAGTTAAGTATTTTGTATTTGACAAATATGTAACATAAATTTAAGGTGCTTTACCCACGGCTATAAATAGCTTATATTTGGTTGTTGTGGTATGATTATTCAACAGAGGTATTATAGAATAGAATATACATACGAGGTTTCCAAATAACTTCGTAACCTTACATTAATCCTTACTAATATTATAAAGGCGCAAGTTTGTATGTATGGATGGATTGTTGTTACTCTTTCACGCAAATACTACGGAATGGATTTTAATGAAACTTTACAATAATATGGGTTTGTAATGTTTGAATAGTGTAATATCAGTGTGTGTCGTCCGTTTATTAAACGAGCATCGAAGTCAAAGTATATTTCGTGTCTTATTGTATTTGAATACTACAAATACAACAATTTGGCAAGAAATAATGGCTAGCAGTGCTAATGTAATGTTCGGCGGCAGTCTCAATTTCGATGACCGTATTCACGGGTGAAGTATATTTAGAAACCGGTTATTCCAGTACTGTACGGCTAATGATATAACCGAATAAACTGACAAAGCCAGAGTTAAGCGTTGAGCAAATTTATTGACGTCACTATCAGAAATTGTCTGAAAATTAACGAAGGGGGGCTTAAATGCAACATCATACATTAAAATTCACTGACGTACCAATATTTAACCCTTCCATTGGTACCGTGCCTTGTGCGGAACACCACCTTGTAAAAAATCTAGCTAAATAATCATTTAGAAAATAACTTCAAAATAAAAAAAATCATATACTACTATTATTCTTTTTTGGTAAAAAAATATTTTTTCGACCTGGCAAAACTAAACCTGTCAGTTTGACTGCTACAACGGCGTCGAGACGTCGTCCTTTTTCAGTGCTCAAGGAAAAATAATAATTTCATAGTTTTTTATGCTTTGTGGCTGTAAACATTTGTTGTAGTATGCTCCTAAAACTCAAGTTTACTTCACCTTGTGTGGATTTCATCACTATTGATTGTTTTACATCACTTTTGCAACCTCCGTATATTGATGTTCCACGCATGATACACTGCCAATTGCAAAGGAATTTTATGATTCATTGGTATGTTCCTCGGGTGGGTCACTGCCAATTGCCTTTGGATGATATAGATGAGACCTTCAAGAAGACAAGGACATTCACAATGGACAAAAAAAATGGTCCATTGTGAAATGGAATGACCATAAAGCAGGCACGTTGATCAGTTCATACGTGGGTACCCATCCCGTCAGTAAAATTAAGAGATACTGTAAAGAAGCCAAAGCCAAAGTTGATGTAGAGTGTCGGTGTAAAGGCGTATAACAAATACATGGGAGGGGGGTGGGGGGGGGGGTGGATCTAGCAGACATGCTGATCTCACTGTATAAAATTCGCTTCAAATCCAATAGATAGTATATGAGTATATTTACCCAGTTGGTCGACACATGCCTTAAAAATGCGTGGCTGCTCTCCAGGAAAACGCAGAAAAAGACTATGACTCGGAAGCATTTCAGGCGAGAGGTTTATGAAGAACTAAAGAAACACGGTATTTCAGTTGGTCATGAGGTTTCTGTTGAAAGTAAAGAAAATAAACCAACGATTCCCAGGCCCTCAAGTCCCATCAAATATGACGACGTTGGACAATTTCCAGATATAAGAAATAAACGAGGTGGTTGTAGACATTTTCAACAGAAAACCAATGTTTTTTTGCATAAAATGCAACATGAGGCTTTGTTTTGTTCCTGGAAGAGATCCTAAAACTGTTTTCTATCGTTTCATACTAAGAACTAGATTTAAGTATCGCTTTTTTGTTCAAAACCCTTAGTAGGTTTATTTATTCAAAAATTTACAACATTTTCAATTTGTTCTTGTAATATGTATCCGTACCGTATTACTATTTTTTTCCATTGTTATTTTAAGGCTCAATATATATATATATAAAAGAATATGCCATATGCAAAATTAGAGGATAAAATTTGATTTAAAATATTTTTTTTATTTACACACTCTTACCCTTACATTAGCAATGTACCAACCAAGGAACATCCATTAACATAAAAAGATTGGCAATGTTCCATGTGTGGTACATCAATTTTTCGGAAAACTGAAGCTTACAATTTTTTTTACTATGTTTTAAAAGTTTTTTACTGACTCTAGAACAAGAGTAAATTGATAGAATTACCAAATCCAACCAAAAATAGGTCTGCCAATCTAAGGGTTAAGAGCCAATTGTTATTTTGTCAACCACGCATTTTTTTTACCTGGGTTCTTTCTCTTCTTTAATAAGCATGTCTTTTTTTTTTTGTCAAAACATTGCCATTACTTTAGGATAATATTATCCTGTTGTAATGACGTTTTACAAACATAAACTTCACGCAGACAAACACCCAGATGCGAAACAAGTATCTGTGGGTCACAGCAGTGGGACATATACGTTTAGGAAACCTTACTTTAAATGAACCTGTTATTGTTCATATGTGGAAAAGAAAAGTAAAATAGCTTTCTACAGCCGCCTGGTCACCGTAGCCGCCGAATTTCTGCATCAGAAGTTCGCCGTAATGGAGATGCGCGGGAATTTTTAACGCATGCCGATTGC